TTCGGTGCAGATCCGGAATGCATTGGCCCTTTAGGATATAGTTGCCACAAAACGACCTCATAACCTGGAAACAGCCCTGAATTGGTCTGAGAACAACATGTAACTGTTTCTGCATTACCGACCTTCTGGTTTCAATTGCAGGTACGTCAGCGAGCGTCCTTGATGCCCTCTCTTCAGGTGTGGCCCCTGCCACTGCTGTTAAACAATTGAGTTGCCTTGATTTGTGCTTCTGTGTGAATTATGTCATTGAATTGCGTGGTGACACACGCATACAAACACAAAAAACACGCACACACCCAACATATAATCCCATCTCCCAGCACCAGACGGCCGCGCGAGACGGCGCACCCAAACATCGCACTTGGCTCTCGCACTCCGCTCGGCCCGTCGGTCCTGCTGCTTGGTCACATGGAAGCGCTCCTTTCCGGGCAGCGCCGCAGCGGACTTCATCCACAACTCGCCATTCCTCGGGCGCGGAGCCGCTGGCGCCGTACGGGTTGTTTTTTCACATCGGAACAGCCGCTTGGAGATGTTTCTTGGGAGCATCAGTCAATGGAGGCAGCCGGTCCGGGGTCTCATGCAGAATCAATGAGAAGGTGATCATTGATTCTCAATGCCCTAGGCTTCCAACAATCATTGATTTAATGGTCTTTACATATCTTTACCGAACAACCATGAACAACGCCCCTGTTTGACTCAGGACATTTACACTCCAACAGCAGGTTCACCGGTCGGTGACGTTCAAACGGTGAACCGACCGGGGTGGGTGACGACCGGACATCGGTCCGAGCGCGGTGACTCGGTCCCAAACCATCGGGACGAAGACACGCGAAACAGGGTCATACTATGGGGGTATACTATGGGGACTACTTGACTACTATGGGGTAGGTAGGTATGTAACTATATATTTCATACTATTTCAGTCCGGATGGTTTGGGTTTGCACGCATCTTTTCGGCTTGGTGTGCGGAGTTGACCTTGCGACCCGAAATGTCCGGGAGTTGACCTCAATCAGCCGCTGAATTCCGGTCACGTTCCACGCGGAGGAGACCTGAGCGCCTGGGTCTTTTTTGAGCATTGCAGGAGAGACCTGGGTCGGTCATATACATGGGTCTGTCTTATTATAGCGGTTCTGCCGATGTGTTAGCATCAGGCTGCGCTAAAAGAAATGGACCCGACCTCCAACTGCAGCAAGCACGGGTCGACCAAAACAAAGGCGTCTCAGCACTTCGCAGGGTGGAGCAAATCACATGTGCGACAACAAACAAGGCTCAGACTCATTGGGACATGTGATGAAGTATGATGAAATATGTCTGTTGGTCCACCTCCCACTGTTCTGCTCCAGCATCCTCTCCGACGATCTTCCCCATTTCTCCAGAAACATCACCACCAAACCACCCAACCACCCAACCTGGCCCCCCAAACCAGAAACCAGCTCGTCTCACTCCTAGCGGCTGCAGCCGGTTCTTCTCCAAGAACAGCCCACGATCGCTGCGGGAGAGGATCTCGCGGGGGAAGGCCAGGTCAGGGCGGCGGTTCATCGGCGCGTCCGTTGAACGGACCGTCTGGTTCGGCGTTTGGATGGGATGATGCCTGTCTTGATCATTTGGGGATCGCGTGAGTCACTGGACGAGTGTGGTCGGGGGGGGGTATTCCGAATGAAGCGAGAAATGACCGCCGGTTTGAATGGGAAGAATGAGTTCTCTTTTGGGAGGGTGGGCCATTCAAACCCTCAATGAAACAGTTGTTTTTTCTTTACGACCAGGGCCTGGGATGCAGGGGCCCAGGGCCCCTGGAGAATCGACTGAGCCAGCGGCTAGCCAAGGTATGGAGAATCGAGAAAAGCTTGGCACCATCAAGCACTTCACTCCAACTTCCCACTTCATTCACTCGAAATGGAAGTGATCCATGCAACATATCTCCACACGTCTCCATGCAACATATAGTATATATATACATCACATAACCACCGAAATTCATCAGTTGGAGTCGAGCCAAAGCAAGGCCACAAGATCCAACCATCCAGTTCTTTCTCAGCCCCGCACTCATGGAGAAGGACTGGCGGGGCGGGGTCGGGTGCAAACAACATGCCGAACGGCAGGGAGGGGTCGGGATTCCGCCCTCGGAATCCCAGTCCCAACCAGAAACAATTGAACGTTTCCCCCCTTTTCGGCCATTTCTGTAGAAGTGTCTTGTCTTAAGTGCCATATTGGAAATTATTGGAACTTTGCTTCTGATTCTTTGGGTTTCCAGGGCCTCAAACCTAAACCTCTCCGGAGGTTTCGGAGGCCGCACCCCCCCTCGAAAAGACGACCATATCTTCAAGTCGACGTCTTCGAAGGTTTGGACACCGGTCGTGGCTCTTCAGGGGGGTCCTGTGTGCGATTTGGTGTAAAGTACATGATCATCAGTGGTGTGTAAATGGTCAAGACTTGATTTGGTGAAGTCCTGTGTGTCAAGTCTTTGATTTGGTGAAGTCGACTTGACACGCAAAAATTATTGCTGTGTAAATGGTTGGTGCGCAGCCCAAAGGTTTTTCAGGACGCGTCTCGCTCGACGATCCCAGTAAAATACCCCAGGTGTTCCAGGTCCTCTTTCAGGTCACAAAAAACTCTCTTAAGGATGGCAGAGAGTTTGTTGAGCGGAGTTTCAGTATGTGTCAGTTCACCAGCGACCCCAAGACCTCAAGACCGGCTTTTTTTTTCAGCCGCCGCAGGATGAAAGAAACCAGCGGTCGGCAAGAGCCAAATGCGGTAGTCACCCACCAATATATAACCTACATTCACCTACTGAGACATTGTTTGTTCTCAAGTTTCTTGCGCGACAACTTCTGATTTACATTCCAACATTTCCAACTGTCCTCTCTCTCTTCCAACTGTTACATCGGCGGTTTTTGGCCGCTGCTCAGCTCTTCGCTGCTCGGGGGTCCTTCATTTGGGTTTGAGCTGAGGCTTCCCCCTTGGCCTCGTCACCGCCCGGCAACCCGTGCCTTGGCCACTTCCGGCTCCTCAGTGCCTGAAGTCTGAAGTCTGACCCCAATAGACCAATAGAAAGAGAAGTGGGGTAGAAGCGCGGAGCTTCTGAACTCCCAAAACGTCCCAAATCGGATCTGAACCATGGTGATCCACGGTGCTAAAACATTTTGTAGGTGACCGTGTCAGCTGTAAAATTGAGCACAAAAAAAGAATACATGGCTTTCAGAGTTCCATTGGTCATTCAGGGTCCACACCCATGAGCTGCACACATAGATGTTCGAGCCCAAAAGGGTGGGGATGGAATATCCGGATCCAAACTTCCTGCGTAAGGCGTTCTTGGTGCCCGATCCCCACTCCCAGGATTCCTTGCGCTCACCCATGTGGATTCCTCTTAAGCATTCAACTATCGGGGATTCCTTGACACTGCCCGTCTTGACTGCCCAAATGAGAAAGAAATTTCAGAAAAGCCTGCAGCATCCTGCGGTCCCTGTGTTCATTTGTCGTGGTCTGTTTCTATAACAATTAGACTTTGAGATACTTTGAGGGTGGTTTCAAGTGACAAGAAGGTAGAGCTTCCCAGTCAGGAAAGCATTGATGTATAAATTGGCAAGTTTGGATGATGTTTGAGCCTGCAAGGCATCTTCCAATGACCTCGTCTGACGGCACCCGAAGCACACAGACGGCTTGCGGCCTGTTTGCTTGGCCTGCCCCGGCAAGGACCTCGACGGAACCGTCGACTCCAGGGCGTCATGTTGATGTTAGGTGACCTTACAACCGTATCTGTCATATCCTGTCTGCCTGTGCCAGGGAAGTGGGTGGGTAGATGTTTCGCTCCCACCATGGTTCAACAGGTTTTAGGTTTCATCTGTTGGATTCGAATGCTTGTGGTCCCCCCTCCCACACCAAATTCTTCGCAGCCTTGTGCACCTACACACCTCCTGCGCCCCCCCTCTGACCTACTCCACTCCTCTGATGATTCAGGGCCAGATGTGGGCCAGGAAAGACCTACGATGATGACAACCACAGTACGTAGGTCCCTTGTGGGTCCTAAAATTGGATCACCTACGAGGTTTTGAGCCCCTGCAAGGTTCGAACCAGGGCGGCCAGTCCGCCCTTAGGGCCAGGGGATCTCCCTCATCAGTCATAAAACAAATCACGTCCTGCCCTGCAGTGAGAAAAAAACAATCTGCGAATCACCGATCTGCAATGATGTTTGTCGGGCCCAAGCGGTCAGCACGAGTGCTTGAGTAAGTAAACCAGCTGCCTTTTGGGCCGCGTCACCCTCGAGCCTCTGGTCATCTAACGACCACCAGTGTCATTTCACTGTCTGAAACTCAGCTTTGGGTGACCACTCAGACTACCACTCAGTTTGGTTGCGGCATAAAATGGAATCAGGTGAACAAAAAACGTCCAATCATGTCCAATCCCAGGGAAAATCTACAACACACATGGACGGCGGGTTGCTCCTGAGCCCTATAGGCTTCCAACCACCATTGATTTAATATAGTTTAACAGTTTTTGCAAACAACCATGGTTTAAGGATTTTAGATGATTTTGGACCACAAAGCCAGCTCCACCATTGTGCACAATGGAGATCCATCAGGACCCCATGGGACGTCCCCGGTTTGGGAAGGTGCTGGGGCTCTCTCTTGAGCCGCATGAAAAGCCCAACCGGCCCACCCAGGCGCCCCAACAGGTCCACCGAAAGCACCTCAGGGCTTTCAGCGAAGTGCAGTCCAAGATATCCCAAGTCAGCAGGGCCCGAGTTCAACTCCTAAGGATTGGTTGATGTTGAAATTGCTGGCCTGAAGCAAGGCCAATGGGCTGGCAGAACAGCTCCAGCATGGCAGTCAGAAGAAGTGCTGCCTCTGAAGGCCTCTTCTCTAGGTGTCTCCTCTTGTCTCAAGATGTTTGAGACGACTGTATACTGTACATGCATGGTCTGACCACATGCCCAAAGCGCACCCTCTTCGCTTCGGCTTCTGCCAGGGCGTCCTCTGGCAAAGCGAGCGCATGCGGATCCGGATCAGTGCTCTGGAAGAAAGAGGAACAACCATCGAACATGATCCAACATGTTGGTGTCTCGATCGTCCCCAAAGAATAGTGAGGGCACCGTGAGAACCAGAGAACCCACAGGGCGGGGAAGTAAAAAAACACGTTCAACACACACACACACACACACAGTGTCCTCCACACAGTGTCCGGACAGGACAGACACACGTTCCATCTCGGTGTCCTCCATCTCAGCCACCTCCGGCCGCGGCTCCACGTTCCAAGAGTCCAGGAAGGCGATCTCTTCCAACGAGATGGCCCTGAGTCGAGGAAGCAGCCGCTGGTGATGGGGACCGGACCTGATGGGACGCCTTACGGGGACCGGACCTGATGGGGACGACGAACGCCGAAGCGATCAGACATCGGGCGTGGATGGGGGGGACCCGAAGGAGACCTGGCGAAGTGAGTTGGGTGGCCAAAGAGGACGAGATGGGGGGCCGATGTGGGAGAAGACGGCGGGTATGTGTTCAGCTTCCATCCGGCTCAGTCGCCTTTCAATTGACACTATCGTGTGAAGGGTCTGGCTCTGACCAGGTGACAGGCCCAAGGTCTGGCTCTTCTTGGGCATGGCGCAAGCACGGCCTTAGGCCCCTCGCAGTACATAGAGATCACGACGTACCTCGTTTCACAGGGATCCTTCAGAGCGCAAAACGCGCATCCGACGTCCGACGCCGTGACGGTCGTCGTCCTGAGGCTCCCCCGCCGCTTTCCCGTGGCGGCGTCGCGGTTTCTCCTCGTGCCCGGCATTGCCCGAGGTCAAAGGGGGTGGACGGTCTAACCCGTATGCGAAAATCCCGCTCCTGCAGCAGTTCGGTGAAATCCTTTCCTTAACCCTCCCCACTTTCGGAAAACAAAGAGCCGGGTAACATCTCAACAGTGTTCTATTCTTTAACTTTTCACTATCTGAGCTAAGTGTTCCATCATTTTCTCCTTTGCCACATCTATCCACCAGTCAATTGGGTCTTCTTCTTTCGCTCTCAGCTCTCTCTCCGTCCGTCCCTGCGCTCAGCTCCGCTCCGGTCGGCAGAGTCGATGTCCAAGCAGTCGAAGAGCGTCCGCACGTTGCCCACCCACTTCATCTGGCGCCGCCGGCGCCCGGGCGCCAGGTGAAGGCGTTTGTTGTTCCGCCTTCATCTGCGTTCGGCGGTTTGGGGGGGTTGGCTTGAAGAGGACAAATATGACAATTGAAAGATTGGAGATCGGTTGTGCCTCATCTTCAAGCATCTTAGTAAGCAAGGTTCGAAACAGGTCAAGGCGTTGCTGTCGGCACAAATCAGGGGGGGTGGTGTTGATCGATCTTCCTATATCTTCCTGCACTGTGTTGGTGGGGGACACTCACCCAGTTCCAGACTTCACCCATTAAACCCCGCCCCAAACTTCTTCTCTCAACCACGCCCGGACCTTCGTTTGACCGAGAAACCCGGCCCGGTTTAGGCCACTCGATGTCGCTCCTTTCACGGTGCCGGAGCACCACGCTCGATCTTCCCCTGACCCTTGCTAGCAAGAAACACGAAACACCACGTGTCGATGTTCCGCACTGCCACCCACGCATCAAAAACCAGGAAAAAGAACCAGTCGACTGAAGAGCCCGTCTTGTCGCCCCATCCTGTACCACAGGCCAGGTCCTAGATGCTCTCTCAACCTCTCTTGGAATGCCATAAAATCCAATAAAACCATCACCCGGAGCGAGCGTGGGAGCCCAGCGAGCGCCTTGTGGCAGGCACGCTTCAGCTCCGCAAAGGTCACCGAGCCGCTGCGGTCGCTGTCTAAGGCCTCCGAGACCGGGACCGGGCGAGACGGGCGAGAGAGGAAGATGGACGAACTGCTCTTGGGCTGCGTCTTTTTTTCGAAAGGAAGGTGAAGGTAGATCAGCTACGAAAAAGAAAATGAGGGTGCGGATGATGGCTGAGTATAAGTGGAGCCTGGCTTTGTCCGGATTTGCGCATGTGAGAGTGAGCTCGAAATGCGCCCTGCTGTCCTTCGTGTCCGGTCCCGACGTTGCTCTCCCGGCACGTCGGTTCGTTCGCGTCGCCGCTCGGTTCGTTCGCCTTGAAGCAGTGTCGCACCGACCCAAAGTTGGAGTCGGCCCACTCCTGTCGACATCTCCGTCTCCGACGGCTGGCACGAGGCGACCGGGCGCGACGGCGCCAACCCTTTCGAGGCGACGCCTCGGTGTCGGTGCCGAGGCGTTCCGCACTTCTCGTTGACCCCGTCGCTGTGCGACCGGGCGCGGTCGGTGCGACCGGTGGCGACCCGGAGGCGGCGGGTCGCTCCCCGCGAGCGGCGGCGAGTGACGTCGGGCGCCTTGAAGGAGGTGAGAAGCTCTTCGCTCTCGGGGTCCTTAGGACATCCCCGACGGGTGGTGTGATGCATCGTATTGGTTGGAGCGAAATGCGGATGCTGAAGACATGTGGTTGAGAATCATTACATAGTTTTTATACAGTATTACCTACTGCCCTGAACCGGGCAGTGGCATGGACTGTCCGCAAGTCGCGCTATACAGTATCAGTATTAACCTAACATAGGTTCGGGGATCTTGGTGTCCCATGGTTCTTTGGCTGCGTTGGAGATGTGTACATGTGCGTCCTGCAGCTGGCACAGGTCGCCTTTCGCTTCATCAAAGAATGCCACTATTTCGGTACACTCCTGGAGGACAAGGACACAAAAAAAATACAGAAAAACAACACATGGATTGTACGAGTAGAGGAAAGTGACCTGTATACAGCAATTTGCCAGGTTCTCGAAATATTAGACATGTTCTACCCTCCAAGAATGATAAGACCCTCGGGCTCCAACTAGCTCCTGAGAAGGTGGTTGGGGTGGGTTTGGGGAGTCTAACCACCTTCCGAGCATGTGGTTGGAGCCCTAGGGAGATGCAAGTGCAAGTTGACCCTACAGTCCTTCGCCTCAGCGAAACCGGATCCGCCCTGTTCGGTGATGCTCCGTGGTCGGCCGCTGGGTCGCCCGGCGTACTCCCGCATTGAGATATACCCGGACCTCGGAGGGTGGGAAGAAGCTGTGCTCGGGGCTGGGAGAGGAGTGAAGGAAAGCGAGACACAGTGGGAAGGAGATGGGCTGTTAAGTTACGAGAATGTAGTCATCTACCTTAGCCCCAATTCAATCTCCAGGAAAAAGGATTGAAATGGATTGAATGTAGAAACCAAGGGTTCGGGAGCAGAAGCCAGATCCTCAACCACCATGAAGCCAGAACCACCCATTGGCCTCGCAAGCCCGCACAAACCATATCACGCCCTAACCCAAACTCATCCAAACTGGTGCTGGATATAAGTGCCCCTGTAATCCCCTAGACTTATATACTCAGATGCGAGCATGTAAAGTTACTACAGCAAGTAAGTATGGCCAAGTGTTTCATCAAGTGTAATATTAAGTGGATTGTTCAGCCGCTATCCTTAAGGCCTTAAATCAGGTGTCAGCCCTCCAAAGCCTACTCCGACCATCCGCAGGATCTGACTGAAACCTGGGCCACCCGACATGTCTGCATCCAAGGCCCTCCAAGCACCTACGATGTCACCGGTATACCGCACCTGCAGGGGAAACCCGAGAGGCGAGACTGTCGGTCGATCCTGATCATGCGCTGCGCCCGCACGACGACGGGGACAGTGCATCGACGTGCGCTGCATGTAACCCCGAAGGATCTGCTGAAAAGAGCCCACGACCCCAATCAGTCCAAATCGGTGGAGGACAAAGTCCGTCTAGTAGCTTCTTGTTGTTACTAGTAGTAACGCCAGGAGCGCCCCGTTCGTAGCGTCCTGGGTACTGCGATGCAACCTTGTCGAGGTGGTTTATAGATGTTTTGAATTGTTTTGATATGTACCTATAAAAATACCCCCATTTAAAAGACATTGAGGGGTGCCAGTATATACTTCGAAACCGCTGCAAAAGCAGGCCCCTTAAGAAATAAGAACTCGTCTCACAAGCTTGAGCGGCCTCTTAAGAGTTCCCCTAGCCTGAGCCCTAGCCTTCCAAGACTATGCAAAAAAAATGTGAACCTGGTGTGGTGCTCTAAATTCTAAAATCCTCTAAATCCCGTTGTACAGCAACGATGGTTTATACTGTGGCATCCCGATCCCCTTGTTGCATTCCTCTTCCACGCTTGCCCACCATGGGGCAAAAAAATGTGTGGTTCTCATGCACTTGTTAGGGGAGAAGTGCAATCAGTGGCTACGCTTCAAACCAACAATCCTCTTGGAAGCCCTGCACCACGGCACCCGATTGGCCACCAACCAGGAGTCACATGGAGTTGGGTGGGTTTTGGTCCCTAAGTGGATGACCCCTTTGTGCCTGCTGGTGCACTGTCTTACTTGCTGATGACGCAAGCCTTCCAATTGGACCAAGCAGGGCACTGGTCGTCTGAACGGATCTGAATGACTGGAAGATCGTTCGTTCTTGTCTGCACCCAGTCCTCCCCCTCCACCGCAGTCGGCCCGGTTCCCCCCCGCAGCCTTCCGGCAAACGTCTCGGAACTCGGTCCACGCAATGCGATTGGAACTGTCCCTGCCGGTGGCGGGTGGGTGTGCCGGCCGAGATGGGGTGCCCAAGCGAGGCGTCAGCTGCCCGACCCTTCGCCTTCGGGGTCATCTGGCGGGACAAGCGGTACGCTCAATTGGACACCCATTGGAAGGACAAGCAGCCAGGTCTGCAGCCAGGTCTGCAGGATCGCCATGATCTAAGTGCCATCAACAGCAAAATGGAGATCAACTACCAGGCGATACTAGATCGTTGGTATTCGTTGGTGTCCACGGTCCCTCCACCCTATGCTTGTGTTGGCTGAACAATGTGACAATGGGACCTCATCTCCTTCACCCCGCCACCTCCCAAATGTCCCAATGTCGCGGTCCAAAGAGGGCCCAGCGAATGGCCTGTCCAGTATCCTCCAGGCCCTCAAGGGGTGCTGGTAGGTTTTCACCAGCAAGTCCTGCGTGCTGGAACGCAGTACACATGGCAAGTCAGAAAGAACCGTGCGCAAAGGATCACAAAAGAAGAATCAAAAAGCAAAAAGCAGCAACTCTTCTCTCCAACCGCCTCACATGTCCAAGACTGTACACCATCCATGGCTATGTCACCCTTCGATATATTCATCTATAATATTCATGCACACCATGACACACCTATCTCCCCGTTCCTTCTATTTGCCTCCCTGGTTCTTCTCCTCCCTCTCTCTTATAGCCCTGCTGTGGTTGCGATCCCCATCCTTGAGCTCCACCCAGGATTCTAAACTGGGATCTGCAGCCAAGAACTCGGAGGGCTGCCACCTGGAGCGTGGCGTGCGGCGTGCGCATGCCAAGCGGGCGGAGGGGAGCGGATGGCGTGTTCGTCCGATGTTCGTCCGGGGGGGAGCTGCCACGCAGGTGAGGCCCACCCCTGGCCCAAATGAACATCAGCTCTCCTTAAGACGTCACGACATTTGGGGGATGGTTTTGGTTCAACCCTTCCCCCGCGGCTCGAGCATGGAGAATGGAGAATGGAAGAAATGGGGTGGCCCCCCCCAGCCAAGACGGAGGGTGGTGAAGAACAGCGAAGTGCCAGGATCATGAAAAATGATGAAAAATTGGTGTCCACTAGACTACCCTACCCTACATAAACAGGTCTCCATTGGGCGCCTGTTGGAAGTGCTAGGGCCCGCACTCACAAAGGGGTGACTTAATGGAGGTTAGGGGTGCCCATGATCCACTCACTTGGGGATCAAACACCACCCCTTTGTGACTCCTGGTGGTTGGTTTTTCTTCACGTTTTCACTTTGGCAGTCCGGAAGCCCAGAACCAAACTCCGAAGCACGACCGGTGGGAACACCGTTTGGCGCAACAAATGGTTTTGGTGCGACGTTCCCGGACTTTTTGGTGGGCCCAAGATGGCCCAAAGAAGTCTTGCTAGGACCCCATTATACAGAACCTATAACACCTAGAGTAGACTCTTGATTGATAAGAGGTCCAGTTCTTACGATCCAAATGGGGGAGTTATGGGGAGTTGCATTTTTGATTCAAGCGTCTACTTGCACCTCAGGTGAAGGATTCTCACTTGGATTCTCACTACTTGATGCATCAAATGTCCCGATATGTCCCGATACTTGGAGGGTCCCACCGAGGATGTTCGTTGCACACACCTCAGCTCACACGACGCGTCGCATGCGTCGCAGGTCAGGTCGTGAAATTCGGAATCGCCCCGGCACCCCGTCCCCCCCCGCGGGCGACGCCGCGACAAAACGAGGGCCTGTCAAGCCAGTCTAGGTCCTGGAAGGTAATCAAGTTGCACCCCATGGAGTCTAAGGAGGTATAAACAAAGGACCGGTCCTGGCCATCGACGCCAGGCGGTCCGACTACGTGGAGTCGGCTGGAAGAAAGGGTGGGTGGTTCCACCGGTCCTGCGCCCTTTTCCAACATCGTGCGATCGCACATCTGCTGCGGAATCCTCTAGACTTGGTTGGGGGATCGGCCCAGCATCGGCCCTGTGTCATCGGGTTTCGCTTTCGAACCGCTACACTGTAGTTGAAAACCGCTACCCCAAAGGTTTATAGACTTTCTATTCCAAGCAAGCTTGACTCCAGTACAGTAAATGACTCGAGGCGATGCTCGAAACAGAAACTCTTTCAATCCAACCAGATTATCGAGCTTATGAATGTTGAGCCTAGAAAAAAGCACCACACTGCTCGGAGAAAAAGGATGACAAAGGTATACAAAGTCAACATCATGATACCAAAAAGGCTGGACATCTCGTGCATCACGACTTGAGAAACCACCACGGCGTCTGCGCGCTCGACTGGCGCACGCAAGCACCGTGGGGGTCTCGTTCCCGACTCCGGGGACCACTGGAGCGCCTCCGCACTATGGATGCCCGGCCAGCCGAGCTCGCGAAGTGCCTGGCACCGGTGGGGCCCGCCGGTGGGGCCCTCCAGAGGCCGACGTCCGCGACCCGCCCGCCCGCCGCGGGTCCGGTGGAGATCGGTCTCCTAGTTCGACACCCAAAAAGAACTGCAAAGAACTGCAGAACAGTTCCCTGATGTTCCCTGGTTCTGGAAGTCTATGTAAGGGCGTGTGGATGCGTGTGGTTCCCACCATGTGTGGACGTGATTTACGACAATTCCGTGCGAAATCGCGCGCAGCCGCGCAAGTGTCAGAGATTTGGCTGGACAGCCGGTTTGGCGAGTTGGATGTAGGAACTCAGGGCTCGAAAAGAAAAGAACCAGGACCTTCAAAGTGACCTCTTTGGAGTCTCTAAGTGACCTCATTCTAGGATCTCACGTTCGGTCACTTTGAAGGTCCTGGAATGTGTTTGTTTAGACCGTAGACCTACCCCGGCGCATGAGACTGCAGCCCGCCCGATGCCGGTACCTATATAGTACCAATGATGTGTGAGTCATGTGTCGAGTGAAGGTGTCGAACGACTTTTGCGGAGCAACGCAAAGCTCACAACTGTCTTGGCATTGGAATTGGGAACGAATCTCGTCAATTGTATCTATGTACAGTACACGTCATATAATGATTGAGCCATATTGAGCATGTACATTTCACAGGATTCCATCCATCCATGTATGACACCTACGGATACCATCACGAAAATCGGCCCGCCTCTCCAAAGGAGGTCACCAGCCTGGGCGCCCAGTGGGACCGGAGAACCGGGCCTCCGAAACAGGAAGAAGCTCCGAACATGTTGGTTTCCACCACGCCACCCTCTCCCCTCTCCCCTTCGTCCCCTCTCCCCTTCCTTCCTCCCATTCCGCCACCTGGGCACCCCGGACATCTTCGATTCCGAGACCCAGGAGCCCTGCGCGCGCCGGCGCGCCCGGGCGCGCAGGGCTTCCTGCGAGTCCCACAGCCCCACGGCGCGGCCGAAGCGCCGCAGGGCCCAGTCCTGCGGCGCGTTGCGCGCCGCGCCGCGCCGGCGGAGGAAGGAGATGTTGGACCGTGTTTCTGTTGGACGGACGGACAAGGCAGTTGTTTTACACTGAAGATCGAACATCACATGGAAGCGGAAAACCCCTCCGCATTTCGTAATTTTTGTAAAGGACAGGAGTCTTCCAAGTTCATGTTCCAATTGCATGTTAGTGAGTTAGAGTGTAGTTCTTCGCAATGCGAAAGTTCAGCGGCTTTCACGTGATTTGGTGGGAACCGCCTATTTTGGGGGGATTTGATGTTTGCTCTTTCTCCCGCTGCCCGGTGAGTTCGACAGCCTCCCCCCACCGTGGTGTGAGAGAGTGCTTGCACAGCTTTGCTTTCCAAACCGGGAGGCCTAAAAGCAAGCAAACATCATCAACCAATACAAAAACAGTAGTTGAGTCTAACCAATATCGGGTGGGTATTTTCAGTAGGAGGACATCCAACCAATATCGGGTTTTGCTCGAATCGACTTTCCGAACCTTCCACAGGCGTCGGAACGCGAAGGTCTCCCGTTTATACACCTCCTCTTTCCCTGCCCTCGCTGCCCCAAAGAGCACTTCCGGCCACTTCCGCGGGACTCCTTGAACTTTGCGAGGGCTTCAGCCCTCCGGGAGCAAAGCTCCTGAATCGAAAATCAGGTATGAAACACCACGTGCGCCAGGCGATCCACCAAACCATGAATATGTTGACTCCCAGGTGACTCCACCAGGTGACTCCCACCTGCTACCCTGGATAGATACCAATTCCAGTCCAGGATGCTAAAAGATAGCTTTTTGCAACTTCTCGCAACATTTACGTCCATCTTGTGAATTTACGTCCTTTTGAAATGCTGAATGGTTTTTCACGTCCAAAGCCTAAATACTATAGATATATTTGAGTGTTGTGAAAAGACCAAGTTCAGCGATTACGGTAAAACACGTCCCGGACAACAATTCTCGTCCTTGCATACCAAAAGACAACAATTAGCGACATGGACAACAAAAGGTGGTTATAAGGTTTAGCAGGCAGGTGTCATGCCTCCGCCGCACCCAGCTGACGTCTGGGTGCGGTACCAAACCCGTTGAGTCTCGCTGTTTCAAGGCGGCAGGCTGGAATCTGCTGGGAACCTATGCAGGCCTTACCACATAGGAACAAAGAAGCTACTACAAGTAGGGGCTCCTGGCGGGCTCCTGGCCTTACTACTATATAGGAACAAGAGGACGCTACGAACGGGGCCTCGTGCGGCTTTGGGGTGCGGAGGTTGGTAGCACCCGGCCACGCCGTGGCAGCACGGGGTGCTGACCCGAAGACAAGACGGTACCGGATCCTGGCTGTCCGAAGAGCACTGCGGCATGACTGAGAAAGCAGAAGCCCGCACCCGGACGAGACTTGAGAAGCGACAGGCTTCTCATGGCTTCTCAAACTAACCCAGAAAAATCCATTTGGACTGATTTCACTCCACCTGGCAGTCATAATCCAGCACTACCGTAGGAGGTGTCAGTTGTGTTTAAATGAGTCAGTTTCCTGGACTCTCAGGGTCAACTGAGCCAACTGTCTGCCAAAATCTGGCACTGTCTGCTGGAAAATAGCACGAAACTGGGAGCTGAATCCACTAGGGGAAGGGAAGGAGTGAGTTGAGGGAAGGAGTGAGGGAAGTTGAGGGAAGTTGAGGGATTCTCTTCATTTCTCTTCACTTCCCTCAACTTCACTCCTTCCGCGTGTGCCCGAGGAGAAGAACACACACGTGTGCCCGCGTGGTTTTCAGGCTCAAGTCCTCCCAAGTCCCACGACCGAAACTCCCTCGGTGTCCTCCATCCTCACTCGCCCATCGCCGTCAGTGTCTAAGCTGGCCCACAGGTCCGAAATATGAACCGGCAGATCCACCTGAGCATCGGCGCATCTCGGCCGATCCGCCCTGACGCGCACACGGGTGCATGCGGTGTTCTTTTTCTCAGGTGTCCGGTAGATGGATTTCGTGATGGCGATAGAGGATGGAGATGGAGAATCAGAGCGTGCACTAATTCACAAAGCCCTCACTAAGCCTTCACTCAGCTAGTTGCACCACATATTGAAAACAACGATTTGCCTTCTAAATTGGGTCTGGCCTGTGCAGGAACAATCGACATGGAGGTCTTGTCTTCCAGCTCCCTGGACATCAGTTTCCGTCCCAAAAATCCTGGGATGATCCGTTGTTTGGACGGATCCGTCTTGAGCATATGGATCATTCCATTCATAATTGCCTAGATCTTCCAACTGTGCATCCGTAAAACCAGCCCAGAGGCAGAACGTTGCCTAGTTGAAACTTATATATACTCTTATATATATATATACATATAGGTACACTCGGACTCACCAATGGACCAACGTGGAAGTGGACAATTGCCCCTTGGAAGGCCACTGTGCTTTACAAACAGGTTTTCCACTTCCCTGTTAGTGAGTCGGAGTGTAGATTCAAATCTCGAGGCCATGAGCAACTTCGCTTCCGCCTGCCTGGCGGGGTCCTGGTGCTTTCAACTAGCGCTTCATGCGCCTCTCTGATTCACATGATAAGCGTGATAAGGAACCCAGATACTCCATGTATGGATATGTATGGCATATCTACAGACTTTATCTATTTACATCCATGGATGGGTGCTTGCTTTCAGGGGGGTCAAATGTAGAGTGGGCACACATTCATGGAGTGTTTGGGTTGAAACCTAGCCCTTTTTTAGCCCCTTTCAGGCCCAGCCTGTCGGCAGTAGCGCCGGATGTCGGTCCTCGGCCGGACCAAGGCTGGGGAGATCCAAGCTCCGATGGAGTTCGAGCGGTTCGGAGAAAAAAAAATCGGTTGATCAGTTGATCAGCCATCAGACCAAGTAGCTATATAGAGGGTTTTTTTTATATAAAGCTAGCCATATAGAGGGTTATTACAATTAGCTAGTACATGCTATATATATACCAATTAGCTATATATGTACTCTCTTGATTCATGTCCATGTCCATGTCCAAGTCAGCCAACTCCAGGTCAACAGGATCTCCGACGGCGTGAGATCATCGCTTGGGGGTCTCATGGAAATGACCTAAGGCCGCCACAGGGTCGCTGTATGGCCTGAGTGACGGCTCTCACCGAGCGATCACAGACCGAGCGATCACAGCGCTCTCTCTCCCTCTCTCTCATCTCCGCACCTCCAACTTGTTCGATGCCCCCACCAAAATACTTTTAACCTACTATCATTATCTTTACTTTACTTATATATCTTTGACTTCCAGTTCTCCGCACTCCGACCACTATGAAAAACCTCTCTTTCGGGGATTTGCCAGATTTGAAAGCTGCGCCGTCCCGGGTGGGACGGCGTCCCTGCAGAGTTTCGAAAGCTGCGGTTTTGGTGGCCATAGGTGGCCATGGGACCTTCTTTGCGAAACGA